GCAAACAGAGCGCTCTGCCATCTCGCTTCCACCCTAGTGCTATCTCGCTCTGGGGAACGTAAACCAGGTAGCAGGAACAGCAACAACAGCCCGGTGCTTGGTCTTTGCGACAAGGAAGGTAACCCATCTTATCAGAAACGTCCGGCGGATTAACTTTGCGGGTGCCTCATTTTCTTTGGCTTGCCAGTCAAATGCAAACACATTAGTTGCCTTTTATTTATCGGAAGAACAGAGAAGAAAATGGGAATTCGTAGTGCTTGATATTGTGACAGCTCCGAGATATTATAAACGCTTGACGACATCTAAGCTGGGGCTTTATACCTCTAAGGCATTTTTGTGCCCGCGTAGTGACGAATCGCACTGCACTCAGAAAATCAAGGAGGAGAAATGCAAAAATCTAGTTATCATATTTAAATGGTAGAAACTACTCTTTAAAGTGGGAACCAGACCCATTACATCGCGTTGCCTTACTCTTTTTCGCAGTTATTTATTTAATCAAGTGCGACTAGATATTGATAGTGTGGTATCGGCCTGATATATGTACTTTGCCCTGCCTAAGGTTAAGTATTGGGGTCTATATATACATATACATGGCTGATATGGGCCTTTAGAGAGCGATAAGCCGCAGGCAACTGTCGTAAAATAAAGTTTCACGGCATTCCATTGGGTAGCAGAGCATTCCCGGTATCAAAAGCCTCCCTTTCAGGCCCCAGCCCCCTTTCCCTTTCACCTGGAACTGGTTGCTGAGCATTCATAATGGGTTCTGATTTTCAAAATCAAACAATTTTATTGTCGCCGTCGTCGATGTTGCTGTTGTTGTTTATGGCTGCCATCTATTTGGTAGCGGCGTTGTGTGAAGTTTTATTTTTTTTAGAGAACTGCTTGGCTTTCGGACTTTCGTTCGAAGGCTTACACTCTTCCTCAAATATTGACAAGTACTTTACATAAAACACCGCCCCAGATTACCACGACCAAATTTGGGGAGTAGTAAAAATTGGGAAAGAACCCTAACTTTGGGTGTTAAAACCCCTTTTAAGTAAAATCCTATGCAAATCTATGGTCAAAAAAACCTGAATTTATGTTATATCCAATATAAAATTATTACTTTTTCATACCCCTTACTCGATCTCACCCAAAATACATTGAAACCTTACAATCAATTTATATTCTCTCTTTCTGGGCATCTATTCTGTAGATACATAAACGTTTCTCTGTTTGTAGGGTTAACTAAATAATAGTCCATGTGCAGGCAGCCCCTTGATGGTTATCTATGGAACACAAACCCAGCGGGACGCACTTTTAATTAATTTACTTGTAATTGTCGCTTGACGAGCACTTTGTCGGCACTCCCAGAACAGGGCATGGAGACAAACGAACAAACAAACCGGCAAACTGACAAACTGACAGCCTCAGGAGAAATGCACTTTTGGTGTTCACTTTCTATCTTGGAAATGTCACGAAAAATTGAAACTACAGTCAACCTTTTCGATGGGTTTTTCACCTTATTTAATCTTTTCGAGGCATTTAAATAAATGTTTTAGCTATTAACATTAAACATGTGCAAAATTTGTTGATTTCGACGACCTTTTAAATACACAGAGAAAATTCTGACGTTCTAATCTGAGTTGAAAATGTTCTTAAAAATAGAACGACATTTTTAAGTTGAAAATGTTTTTATTTTGCTCCAATCAAGTTGAATTGGCGGTATTTAAGTGAATTGTATGTACAAATAAACTATTAGTTCTGTCCTTAGTGTATACTTATCAAAATGTTGTTAAATAAACTCAATTTAACTTTTCTCTTCTCACCATTTCGTTCTTATATTGATACCAAAATGTACTTACACGGTTTTTAAGAACGAATGTTCTCAATTCAAGAACAATGTTCTCAATTCAAGAACAATGTGCTCAATTCAAGAACAATGTTCTTAGATAGTTTTCTCTGTGTACGTAATGAACTGTATTTATTCTATTTTAGCCATATGTTAACTCCTTGTATTACAATCTCGTTAATGTCTTTGCTTAGAAGAGATTTCTGGGACCCACGATTATGAATAAAATCCTTGCAGGCTTTCCCACTCAGGATAAGTACACCCTAATTCAAATGCTCTCAATATTTCCATCGGCCTGCACCCCGTTTGGTGCGATCTCCAGCACTTTGTTATCGGTTCCGAGAATCACGTAAATACACCCACATAAAACAGTATTATTGCTCTTGATGCTTTACACCCGATGTGGGTGATGTGGCTGCCGTTGGAATCTTTTCGATTTGTGATTCTGTCTAGTTTCGAGATGCTTTGATCTTTTTACGTTCTTCCGATCCAACTTTTTCGGTCTTTTTGGACTTTGTTTTCAGAGGCAGGAAGGCTGGTTAATTGCCACTTGAGGCTTGGCCGGCTGTGTTTTCCTCTACACAGTAAAAATTTTGTTGGTAAGATCTGTCACCTTATAAAAATTTTAAATGGGGAAAATGTATTTTTAAAAAATACCATTGTCTAAACAACAAGTTAAAAAGTACTTTATGCTATACTATTTCAGTGAATTGTATAAAAAATTCAGTTGATTCAACAACCGAAATGTTTTCGGTGTAGTCAACAGAGAAAACAGACACAACCACGGCAGTCCAGTCCCAGATTAGACAATGCATTTTATTTTCCTATTTCTTTGCAGCGCCACGATAACAAAGTAGGCGGCAACGGGCTCCGCAGCCGTCCAAAAAATACGAACCAAACAAAACCCAGCCCAAAGGCAAAGAGAGAATATCCCAACTGTAGCCTTATAAAAAGTCTGTGGTCAGTAGCTTCTGTCGCCTGTTTCCAGTATCTGTCAGTGCTGCCGAAATTCTAGATCAAAAAAATGAATCGAAAATATTTTATCTGCTTGTTGTATGCATTGTTTGTTTAAGCAGTCCAATATGTTTATAAACTTAAATTGCCTAAAAAAATTTTTAAAAGGTTTACTAACGTGGAAAATGGTATTGTGAGACTCCTGAAAGTAGCCAAATAGCAAGATTGGACGGGGAAATACCAAGCCCGTCATCTCCACTGTCTGCACTTAGCATCTACATCGAAAACAACAACACCGCGTCATCGCCATCGACATTTGCCTTTTTTATCCGAAAGCGGGCATGGGCATGAAATGCAAGATACGCTCAAAGGAAACCGAAGTCCAAACGAAAGGTGTTAATGGACCCGACAGTGCGCACAGATACAAGAGGAAAAGAAACACAGATACAGCTTCCATCTGAGCTACACATAGAAAATTGTACACCGATCCAAAGGAAACTTATTTAATATTTAAATTATTTAAGTTCTATTGACTGTATTTATTCCTAATGGTAGTGTCCTAGAAAGAAATCTCTCCGATTCTGTATACTTTTCAAATTACGGTTATTAATGTGAGATTACCTCGATGGAATTAAAAATATATCTATACTTTTCTCTCAGTGCTTGCCTGGTAAATATTTCTCCCAGCGGCGCTCTTTCTTCTCGCCCATTTGTTCCTTTCTCTCTTTTTACCGGCTCCATCGCATAGATCTCCCTGCCTAAATATCATCTTTTGTGGGTCTTTTTCGAGTTTTCCACTAAATGGCCTGCCCATTCTGCTGACTTTTCCCTCGGCGGCCCATTTCACGCACTCTGAGGCAACTCAGCGATTTTCATGGTCAAATTCTACGGTAAATTATGGAGCGAGATGACCTAAAATGTTTAAGCCTCAGCTTATTTGAGCATGCAACCACCAGCAATAGCTTAAGAATTTAGAAAAGGCTTTCTTCAACGTTTGGTTATTAGTTACCAAAGAAATATTCAAGAAATTAAAGGAATGATTAACAATTTTAAGACTTCCTATCGAAGCGGACAAACAATTCTCCATTAATTGAAAAGCAATTAAATATCACTCCTTGACTTCTTTTTAGTGATAACAGTGCTCTTGTGTTTGAGAGTCAGTCGTGTTTGCCTCTTATCAAGATATATATAGCTCCCAAATCGGGGAACCTTCTCCCTTTTTGACGGTCCGTCTCGATCCCCAGAGAGTTGCTAATGAAAATGAAACCCCGAAAGATACAGAAAAATATATAATTAGAGGAGCAGAAAGCATTCAAAAATTAAAAAACTACCGAATGTTTTTGGATTTTCAGCACATTTAAATTTTATAAGTTTCATAAAGGAAAGTCCCAAGTCATTTCAACTCTGCTTTAATGTTTTCTAATAAAAATAGGTCTCCTGTGACTGGTCAGCAGATAAAATACAATTAGTCCTGTCAAATATGAATATTCATCCAAACAGACCCTCAAAAATCGCGAAATGCCTCCTAGCTTTTATGTGTTTCTAAATGTTTTCAGTTATTGTTTACTGCTGCTCTCCATGGCTTTGTGTTTATCTAAGATCTCTGAAGCGTCAGTAAAACATGAAAAGCCAAAAGCAAACAGTGGGAACAGAGTGTGGGCGGTGGATGGAATTGGTGGGGGCCGTGGGGCGGACGAGCCCCACTTTGATGGCTGCCGGCCTCCGAAAATCTCCCTCCACAAGTCCGTCTATAAAACGGTCCCACGTATCCGTCATCCACAATTTCGAACTTTTCACTAGAGTTTGTGATTTTTAAACAATTTGTTGTTCGCCGCTGCCTGTTGCCTTTGTTTTCATATGCAGTAAATTCAATTTAAGGGAAAGCTTGCGAATTAAAATTGGTTAGATCATTAATTTTGGGGGAAAATATGTTTCGTACCTCCAATATTTCCATTATTAAACTTCAAGGTGTTTTAAATGCCCAATACGCTTTTTTAGCGTTTTCTAAATTTAATTACCTGCCTGGCTTTTCGTCTTTGTGCTAACTCTACGTTTTAGACGCTGTTTTGGTTTTTTGTTTTTCGCACGTAAGCGACGAGAATTATTTTTATGGGCCACACAAAAGCCGGGCTTATCGACAACGTGGGATCGCAGAGACCCGGGACATGCCTGCTCTTTGGCTCAGAGCTTATATATAGCTGCTCGGCTCGCTTACCTGAAGCTCAGCCTCCAGCTGATTTGTGTGACCCGCCAGGTTGGGCAACGCGGTCATGTTGTAGCCAAGACCTTGGCAGGCGGAAACGGCGATGGGCTGGCACTGTAATCCATTCGGGCCGGCTGCCACCGGGCCGTTGTGGCCGGGACTGCTGGCCGAGGTCATGGCCACGGCCAGGATCAGGAGCAGGATCGGGCTGGCGTGCATTGCGACTCACTTTGGCGCTAACTTGGTTTCAGGGTGTCATGTTTGGCACTCCAGGGTGGGTTCTTGCTTTTGTTCCACTCGCGAGCACTTAAAAAAATGTGTTGTATTGTTTTTTGATTATTTTGGTTCTGGTAGGTTACGTATTTCGCAGGGTTCTCAAGAATCCGCTTAGAGAACTGTGAATCGTGACCGCTAGTCTCTGGTCTGTCGAACAAACTGGCCGTGCTCGGTCGCCAGTCGTTGGGTTTTGTCCGCTCCAAGAGCCTCAAACTTGTTCGAGTGCCGGCTTGGAACATGCTCGACGGCTATATAGGTATATATACATCCGTAGGAGGTCCAAAGCCTAATGAAGACAAATAAATGTACCGTTTTTATACCCATTCTCTCGGGAAGGAAATAAAATTTGGAAGGCAATAGAGGGACTTCCCAATGAGCGCGATGTCGAAGCAAGATGATATATGGCTGTGGGCTTTGATAGTTCCTGTGCTTGGGATGAGTAGTTGGGAGGTACTGGTAACTTATGGCTATCTTTGTTGAATAATTAAATTATATTGGTTCCTAAATCGTTCCGATTTTATTGTTAATATGTTTGGAGAACAGAGTTACTAGTTAAAGTTTATGATTAAAAAGTATAGTTGGTGTGTGATTCAGTTAGTAATATAACGGTATTGTTCAATCGTAGTAGAATTCTAGCCAGTTTTATCCGGACTGGGACACCCACACATGGATATGTGATGGAGATGGAAGCGATTTATCCGAGAAGAATCAGTGGCCGGCAGGTGAGCTCTTCAAGTGACTGCCGAGCCATACAACCTGGAGAGTCAATCGGCTCGACACATACCGTACACACACAGAAAGAAAGAAAATTAGTTACACCCGAAGTATTGATATTGAGGCTCCTAGGCCCTAATTTTAGCTAGAGGGCAGCGGCCTAAAACAAGCCAAAGGTATGACAATTAAGGTCAAACAATTTTCTAACCTTAAAGTAAGGCTTAACGTTATAGAGATCATTTATGGAAGTCAGCCAATTCCATATGCTACCACTTTTTCGAGTGTATGGTGAGGAAATTCGATCGGCAACGTCGACCAACCACAACAGCAACATCAAACAGAACTGAAAGATAGCGAACTTGGAGGCTTCGTGGAGGGCAAGGGCGTGTGGCTGCGGAGGGGGTGTGGCTGGCTGGAGGTTGAGGTGGATGCAATTGAACACCGCGATCCCCACACGCTGCAAATGACGGCGTCGGCGATCTTTGATGTGTGCTTTGATTTCCGGCAGCCAGATAAGATTTTTGCCCCTCGACTGGGCCTTCTCTTTTGGCCCTTTTTTACTGCTTTTCCCGGGTGCCTCGGAGAAAATCACAGATCAAAAAGAATTGCTGCAAATTCTGTTGTGAATTCTTGATCTTTGCAAGATTGTAGGCTGAGTCAAGGGGAAATATATAGCATTAGATCGGATAGGAAGCCACCTGTTCTATTTTCATTTCAATTATGAATTTATACATATCTAATATGTTCTTACCTACTATATCACTGTAATATGTGAGGCCTACTTCCCACAATCATAATATACAGCAATGATAATACTCCAACCACTTAACGTTCTAAGTCGGTCCCCCAATCTTCAGATCTCTCAATTGTCAACGCAGCTAATCCCCCATGTAAGTACTACCCGAAATGAGGTATAGGGCATCCGAGGACGGAGAGACGCAGGGCAGGCCGCTTTGTTTGCTTGCTTTGTTTGAACTCAGAGATGCGCACGCAAGAATATCATCAAAGATCTCGATCTGAAGGTGGAATGGGAATGGCTGGCGTACAATGGCTAATGTAAGCACTTGCAATTGGCCTTTTCCTTCCCACCTAACCCTGCCTCTGTTGTTTACCCAATACCCACTCCACATTCGGGCCTTGTGTTTTTTGTTTGGTGCTCACTAGTGTTCCTGTTAAGTGCCCCGATCGAAGTACACCCCTGCCCATGCCTATTGCTGTCTAGCTTGCTCTCAAGTGGGGATCAGTTGGGATCGGGGGAGATTAATCCAATTGTGGTAATACGGTGCCTTTTGTCAGGGGGATATGATCGTAAACAGTAGTCATGCATGATCATCGGCTCAGTTCAAGAGAACTGTAATGTTATGGTGAAAACACTTGGTTATTATTAGTTATTAGTTTATAAAAAAAATTACTAATAACATTTATTTCCAAAGTGTCTATTATGTCTATCGCTCTCATAAGGTCTTCTGTGTCTGTGGGCTGGTGACTAGTTTTATGTCCTGCAATTCAGGTGGTTCATTCCAAACTTTTCCCGGCTTCAAAGCGGCACCGCTTAAAGAGGATTTGCTCAGCCGTTAAGCGCTGTCGCTGTCAACATGGAAAACGATCATATTTTCCACGCCGTCTCCTTTTGCCATTTGCCATTTTCCATCTGCCATTTTCTATTTGGCGATCGGTTGACTTTGATTTCTGTGCTCTTTCGCCAGATGCTTGACAAAGATATGCGGGCTCAGACGGTCCGGTGGTCGGGATGTCCGACATGAGTCACCACCCACCAGCCGAATCGTATCCCACAGATACGCGAGTATCCACCGAGCGGTTCGCCACTCTCCTAACTAGTTTTCTGGTCGGCCGAGTTCAAAAGCGCTTATTAATCTCTGGTACTTGTGTTTAGTACTTTTAAATACGTTTTGAGTACTTTATTCAGTACGCTTGATGTTTTGCCGCCGCTCCAAGTCACGATGTTTGCTCTGCTCTGCGCTTCCCCTTTTGCATCTCCTTTCTGCTGTTTGCTTTGCTTTTGCTCTGCTCTTGCGAATTGGACGCGCGTCAATATTTATTTTACTTATCTTCTCGGTCGCCCAGCTCGCGGATATTTTTTATGTTGGAAAAACGAGGGGAACGAGGGGAGCCCCTCGAGGGGAAAACGAGGGAAAAAATGGATAAATAAATTCGATTTTACCCAATATCAAACAAAAATATGCCTATTTTGACGGGATTACGGAATAAATACATTCTATAATTCTTAAATTATTATCAATATAAAGTTTAGCCTGCCTTTTTAATATAACCTCATCCATCGATTTTGGCGGACTGCATATATTATGCAAAATGAACTAGCCTCATGAAAGCCACTGTTTTTCCGCGGAGGAGAAGGGGAGCCGTGGATTCGAACGCCCTCCGAACTGGCGCCCGCCTGCAATTCAATCCGCCCGGCGACTCCCAGCGGGACTTCTTCTGGCAACCCAGCGTTTCGCTTCCCCACGTGTTACTTGCTCCTCTTGCAGAAGCCATAGGAATAATGCGATAATTACAATGCCAAGAATCATTCGTTGGTCGGGGACACCGTGTGAATTACCGCTGCCCAGACTAAAACAATCTAGAGTTACTCCCAAGGCGGGGCAGAGGGGGAGGTCCGGGCCTGTACTGCCTACCAAAGAGAGCTGCATTGGATAATCCTGCTTCTTCAGTTACACTGGCCACATAAATCTTCTACTTCAAAGTTGGGTTGTCGGCGTGACAAGGCAGTGTGATGAATACATATATATGTACGACTCGGGGATTACACAAAGAAAGGTATATAAGCAAAGGGCCACCAGAATCTGAGTTTTGAAGCCCAACTAACATGGGCCCCAATGGAAACCAATATATGATACAATATCATGCATCAAATATCACAGTAATTAGTTGTATCTATAGTTTGATACAATGTCATACAATATCACATACAAAACCCTAAATCAACATTTTAAATGTATTCAATACACAATGTAGTATAATACTACGACATCTAAGAAACAGCATTGGTCCAATCAAAGATCCGTTTATATATACGCCTACCGCATACAAGTGTCTTAGTTATGCGATAGGCCTAATCAAAGGAGTTGAGAGCCCGATTCCATCCTTGAGAAACCGATATGCTGCCAGAATGAAACGGACGTGCTCTAATCCAGGTAGGAGGGGAGCCCAAATGTTGGGTCCCAGGCAACAATAAGCCCCAGCCAGACAATAAAACCCTATAAAAACACCGAAATGCGAAAAAAATGGCAAATGAAAATGACAAAGGATCGCGAAAGACTCGTTCGGGGCCCTAGACATTCGTCTATAGGACGGAATGTTCGAACTTCGGAGACAGGGGCGCGGCGACCGGCGAAGATAATTTGTCATATCCTGGCGGAAGGAGGGAGGGAGAGAGCAACAGGGGCTAGACAAGGACGGAGAGTCACCAGGCGGCGGCGGCAAAAGATGTAAGCCGTGCGGTGCGCTAATAAAGTTGCCCGGCAAGAAATGAAGAGCTTCGCGGAGGGCAACTCGAACTATCCCCTCGATTTTCTCCGGCCCTGTGTAGGTGCTAATTTAGCGACCCCACAGAGATACAAATACGACTGCAAACGCAGCGAGTTCCTCGGAATTTCCATTTTCAACAGAAATAAACTTCGGATAAGGGACTAAATGTCAAAATTATCAACACACTGGGTGCCCATATTAACCCATAGCTAAATTATCGTCTTAAATTAACCCAAAAATCAAATTGGAACATATTGCCGACCACAGTTGGAACAAATTCCTTGAGATTAACGTACGTTTCTGAAAGGTAGCTTTTCTTTCCCAGCTACGTCTTATGAAAATGGGTAATTTGCATTTCATTTTTAAACCAATTCGCAGCTCAGTTACCATGGGTTAAGAGCCCCGATACGGCTCGAGTCTTTGGGCATTGGAGATTGCTGGTCGAGCGAGCATGAACAGGGAAAAGCGGGCGAATACAGCCATACAAAGAAGCAGGGCTCATGGGCCAGACAAAGTGCAAATATATGTTGCGAGAGTCCAGATCCCAAGCCGGTCCTAAAACCAAAAGGAAGGCGGGCCGGAACCATAAGAAAATCGGAAAAAAATACGGCTGAGTGGTCCGCCTTGGCTCGAGATGCCAAAGTGCATCAGGCACTAAAATGCAGAAAATTGAAACAGGCTTTTAATGAAACGAAAGTGCCGCGAGAAATGAGATGTGCGACTGGTTGGATGCTGGATGGCTGGACGGTCCCTTGGTCGGATCGACTGACTATCTATCTGGACATCCAATCCAGGGCCCTCAGATGGTGGCAATCGAGAGCAAGAGCTAAAAAATAAAATAAAGCGAACACAAAGAGTCAATTAATTAGTAGATGGATCCACGATTAGCGCTATTTAAACAGTGCGCTGCAGTTGAAGATCCAGTTGAGGCTCACTGTAAGAATAATTTGACATATTTTCAGGTATGCACATGTCATTTTTTTGATATAGATTTTTGTTTCTTTTCTTTCTGATCTTTATGATTTCTTATTGTTTTAGCTGTTTATAAATTAATTGACATAAAATTATAAAGAATTATAAACTCTAAATTAAAGAGTTCATAACAATTGGAAGCCATCAGCATTATTTTAGGAAACCTTGAAAATAGAATGAACAATTTGTAAGGCTAACTGCAATTTAAACCTTTAAAACTTAATTGAATATAAAACATAATTTTCCTTGCTTTCCTTTTTATGAGTTTTTTTCTAAGTGCCGACACTGTGGCCGGCGAATGGTCTTCCTTTTACTTAAGATAAGAACGGGGAATGGAAGCTGGGGCGTTCATTAAATGATAACACAGCGGCAGACGGGTCCGCGTGATAAGGCCATTTGAACCCGCTCGGACAGGTAAAAAAAGAACATCTTTGGAGTCTGAGCAATTGGATGGAAATGCACTACAGTGATTCAATATGCAGGACTACTAGGGAGACTGGCCAGACAATAAACGGAAACCAAGGGGTAGAATTATAAGCTTTTTTAAGGGAGTTTGGTACCAAAAATAAAAATTCATAATATATTTAATTAAGGTTGAGTAACAGTAAACTGAATTTAGGCGAACATACTTGTTTGTAACTAATCTCGTAACAAAAATGCTTGCTGAAGATAGCTTCTTTCGTTAACCCTTCACCTAAATGAAAACTTTGATTTCAAAAAGCGCAAGTCCTTATAATAAAACCCAGCAACCAAAAAGAGAACGATGCTTGTACAAAAACCGAAAGGTAAACATCGCTTTGCATTCGACCCATCATCATAATGGATATTGTAAGCTGCAGGTTGAAAACAGGGGCGTGACGAGGGGGATCCAGATCAGGATTGGGCAAAGGTACAGGTAGAGGGGCCTGGAGGAGAACCAGAGGAGCAGAGCCACACGGAGCGGGAGCAAAACGGCAGCCAACCGGGAATCGGTTTACGTCTTCTGCGAAATATTCATTATAGCAAATTTGTAAGGGCAATCGAGAGGAGAGGCAAAAAAAAGTTCACTGAAAGAATAACAAGAGCTAAACGTGAGATATTCATATTGTTCTTTTTCGATTTCAATTTAATCGTCTACCCAAATCAGAATAAAATTCTATAAAATCTGCAATAAGCAGAATTCCATAAATATGCATATGGATCATCTGTTCGGCTTGAAACATTTTAGGTAAGTCGATGTTCAACTGAGTGGTACAGCGGTTGAAGCACTCTGTACCGGTGTAATATGTTGGAAATTGAAACCAAAGTTCCGAATTTTTTCACGTGTAGCGTCGTTCAAGGAGGGGAACTTTTCCGTGTCCAATGCGGTTTTTATGCTTCTCATCTTTTTTTTGCAGAATTATCTTTGCTGTTATTATGCACTATAAGGCCTAATGCGCACAGTTCCTGTGTCTTTAAAAGGTGGCTGGAAGATGGGAAGGAATACAACATACTATACATATTCGTGGGCGGAATAGTCGACCGATTTATGTGAAACACCCGATTAATTATTAATAGAGACTTAAAAATATATATATATATATTTTTGTATTGTTAATATATTAACACAATAGGTAAAAAAACAATAAAATGGGAAACCCCAAATTAATTGTGAATACAAATTAAAGTTAAATTAAAAATAAAAAGTTAATTTAAGCATTGCGTTGTCCATAATATTATACATTATAAACAAATGATCATAAGTATTTTATCGTTATTAAATCATGCACTATAAAATATATCTTAAATTACTTAGTTTTTTATTCCTGAAATACTACGATTATGTTTATTTCTTGCCCCAAAATTCTAATGCATACCTGGATGAGTTTTTATGCCCATGTAGATAGTGTTGGGATCATGATGCGAGCTGAAAATCGAATGCACGTTCTGCAGCTCCCTGCCCGTAGCACCCCCTCCTCCTCCCTTGGCTCGATCCTCTTCCTCCTCGTTTTTATTGTTCTCCCTGTGTTTTTGTGAAATATGGCCCGAGGGGCGGTTCAATTTTGTGCATTTACAGCGTTCGGGGTGTTGGTAATTATAGGGCCTTTATGTCTGGAAGTTCCTTTATGATAGGGTTTTTACCTCAAAGTTTCTTTCATACACCGGTTCGCCTTGTTGTTGCGTCGCCTTTGATTGCTGAATTAAGTCGGTCGGGACATATTCTGTTGTATTTCTGGGCCAGGTCAGGTCGGATCAAAGCCCCTTGCCCACACTCAAGTACATTTATTTGGGCGGAGGAGAAGAACGATCATTGAATCCAAGATAAACGCAAAACATTTAATTAAGTTGTTCAGGGAACGCAGTCTGGTGTTTTTGTAGTCTTTGGTATATTTCGATTGTTTTCGTATATCGTCGGCGATCCATCACTATGATCTACCGTTAGACTGGCATAGGGATGCGGTTTTTTTGGCCAGACACGAATATAAAAGTAATATTTAAATTAATTTGTTATTTAGAGCTCTATCAGTTTCATGACCCACATGAAGCATTTTTTTTTGTATTTTTTAACCAAAAGAGTCCGAACAACTTAATTTTAATTAAACCAATCAAACAACATAACTGTCGGACAGCTCGTTCAACCTTTATTGCACAAACTGTCATCATAATCATTGTGGGCGTAACGACTCTTTTTTTAGTAACTAATATTTTTTATTGTAGAAAACTAAATTTATAGAACAGCGAGAATTTTTCAGTTAAGATTATTTTTTAACTACCCAACCGATTTTATTACTTATTGGTTAAAGTTAACTAAATACACGCATCCTCAAAAGCACCGTGCCATTTCCTTTTTTGAAAATACTTTTGCCGCCAAAAGTCGGATTGGGGTGAGTACAAAATACACAGACATGAGTGAAAATTAATTCTGCGCTCTCTTTGCTCTCTCAGAGCGCAAAAACTGGAGTGAACAATCGATAAGTTTGAGTGGAAATATCGATAGAATTCCATTAAAACCGATTTGTTCAGAGTGACCGTTTGGAGAATTTTTGGTATTTCTTTGCGCCGATAATTGATCGATAATCGATAGCTTCGTTTCTCCACCTCTAGCTGCAAATTACGCATATTTATTTTATACCCTGTACGATTTAAAAAGCAGATTCTATAAGATATATGTGGTTTGCTTTTTACGTGCAGCGCATTTCGCAGCGAGTGAATTTCAGGTAAAGTCGGTGGGACGCGGGAATTCCGGGAAAACAAGAGGCATCCGTGCGAACGAGAGCGTGTTTGTGTGTGTGTTTGCGAAGTCCTTTCCATTTACGAGAAATCACGCGAAAAGGGGAATTACATATAGGATTCAGTGAACTATATATCCCTGGGTCGTCGGGGAGTGCGGGAATCTGGGGGTGCTTTCAACACCGTCGACTGGCAGCGGGGCGACGAACTTAACCTCAAATCCTGGCACGGGAATCCAAACGTGCGACGAACGACAACAAAGATAACAAAGCGAATAAAGTCAGTCTATCCGAACCCGAATCCGCACCGAAAGCACTACGATGTGGCAGTCCCGTTCATGCTCCCAGATTTCCAGTCTGATTGCCTTCTTCGAAAGCAAGCATCGTTCTAGTGGCCCGGCTGGGACCGGAGGCACCACTTCCATCTCCTGCAGCCAGAGCAATCCCCCTAACCACCTCTCTCCTCTCCACTCTTTGCAGGACGCGCCCACAAGGAGGCCAAGGCCAAGCAGCTGCTCGCCATGGTGAAGAAGCGTCAGACGGATAGCCACGATCACGAGAGCTCCACGGACTCCGGCGATGAGGATCTGCACCACCGGAACACGCTGTCCGGCTCCGCCGGCCAGGCGGACGGGGCGGCGCCCATCTCCGCCAGCTGCCAGCACATCAAAAAGGCGGTGGACGCCACCCGGCTGCGGCGTCTCCTGAAGTCGACGGGCCTGCTCTACGAGTGCCTCCAGTGCCAGAAGCTGGGGAAGACGGCCGCGGAGGGAGTCGGCGCATCCGGTTCTGGTGGAGACCCCGGGGACTTTGAGTTCGACAGCACGCTGTGGTTGTGCCTTAAGTGCGGGAGCCAGCTGTGCGGGAGAGCCCGGCACAAACACGCCCTGGAACACTACAAGGTGAGCAGGGCATCCAAGCCAGTAGGAGATTATGTCAATACATATCACACCTCCTAGCTTTATATCTATAGAGCCATTCAACTCTCGCCATTTCCAAACAATTGTATCATCACTTACCACTGCTATTAGTAGTAAACAGTTTAGTAACCCTAAGTAAGTGCTATTTGTGATTTCTATTTTAAAAGGTATACTGCGATATTGGAGAATTGATAGAATTGGTCAGACTAATTGGTTTGCAGGTGGCCACGTAAAGTAACTGATAGTAACTTATTGCAATTCCACATAGCCAGCCATGAGTTTAATTTCACTTACATTTGAAGTCGAATTCAAAAGTCAAGTCAGAGCTATAGTTTTTTACGTTGTGAACTAATCTAATTACGTTGTTATTAAAACAAAGAAATCGGAAATAGCACAGTGCCGCTCATCTGTACGTGGTAATTTAAATCTCAATCTTCCTGCCCTTCGCAGACACCTCACTCGGACTCGCATGCCTTGGCTATGAACACGCGGTCCTTCGACATCTGGTGCTACGAGTGTGACATAAAGATCTGCTCCAATCTGCGCAAGAACCTACTCGAGTGCGTGGAGCTGGTCAAACGGCTAGCCCAAAAGCCGCCCACTAACACAGCCACGCCCAGTCCGCCCACCATTAGCTACATCGAGCAGAAGATAAAGACCACACTGGAGCACCTCACGCCCATGGTGCCCATGACGGGAGGATCCTTCGACGACTCCGGCGGAGGAGGGGCCGTGGCGGTGTGCTCGGGCGGAGGCGGTCAGGTGGCCATTCCGATGCCGCCGCCGCCGCCCAACTCAGGACAATCTCCCTCAGGTTCGTTGACTAGTGTGCCGGGAATGGCCAAAAGGGTTGGGCAGCCCATCGCCACCGTCGGCGTCAACAACGCGGACAGGCGTCTTTTAGCCTTGGAGACGCCGCGCAACGAACTGGACCGACTGCCCAGGGTGCGCGGGCTAACCAACCTGGGTAATACTTGCTTTTTCAATGCGGTGATGCAGTGCCTCGCCCAGACGCCGTTCCTACTCAGTGTGCTGAAGGAGCTGTCGGAGCCCGGCGAAGAGTAAGTTGAGATGCACTCAAAAATTTATAGAATATACCCAACTTGCTATCCCCTCTACAGATTCGTACTGCCCGGAGGAACCTTCAAGCTTAAGGACAAGGGTGACATCGAGCTGCCCATGATCAAGGGCACCCTATCCTCCTGGGGCGGCCTTACCGCTGCGTTGGCCAATGCCCTCGAGGAACTCCAGGCGGGTGGCAGTGTCTTCACGCCCAGCAGACTCTTTGACAAGCTGTGCGTGAAGTGTCCGCAGTTCACGGGCGGCGACCAGCATGATGCCCACGAGCTGTTGCGCCAGCTCCTGGAAAGCGTGCGGAACGAAGATCTGAAGCGCTACCAGCGCGTGATCCTGCAGAACCTCGGCTACAAGGACCAGGACATCAACAGTGTCTCGGAGGAGATGCGACAGAAGTGCAAGATCTACGGCAACCAGGCCGGAGACCGTATCCTGCGCCCGGAGCAGGTATTCCGCGGCTTCCTCGTATCCACGCTCACTTGCCAAGACTGCCACAGCGTGTCTTCGCGGCACGAGTACTTCCTGGATATGTCGCTGCCCGTGGCGGTGGAAAAGCCCCAACCGCCTCAGCGCCGAAAGCCGAGCCCGGAGCTCTCCATTGTGGCTAGCAGCTCCAGCGTCAGCTCTACCCAGACGCCCAGTCAAACGTCGATCAACACCAAGTTCTCGGATGGCAGCGTAAACTTTACAGCCTCGTCGTCGTCCTTCTTCCTGCACGCCGATCAGGAAGCATCCCTGGGCCCCTCTAAGTCGCAGGTAAAGAAGGAAAAAGAGCGGGAGCGCAAGGCCAAGCGCGCGGCCAAGCACCAGCGCCACAAGCAGGCCCAAAAGTTGAACCTCAAGCTGAACGGGAATGAGGGCGGAAATGGTTTGGCCGACTCCGGTGAACCGAGCGCCCCTTTGGCCTCCCTGGGAGCCGGCGATGGCCAGGCCAACGATGGCCTTGAACAACCCAAGGACCAGACCGAGGATACCACCTCGTCCAGTGTGACTACCTCTGAGCACTCCGATGCCGATGTGGAGGATAATCTAGTGGAGGACGCCGCCCCCGCGTCGACCCAAGTTCCGACCAAGTTCTACACGGACAGCAACGGCAATGCCCAGCCGATGGGTGAAAAGCGCGACGACACGCCGGAACACATGGACAAGGATTCTCTCGAGGAGGACGAAAACGGTAAGTAGAAGAGCTTACTTTCGAATTTCTAGAATTATTCGATATTAAGTAGAAGCATTTCAAAATACAATTTTAGTTTTTTAGCTAGTAAATGTATAAGCCCTTTAATGAACAACAAAAAGTAAATTCATAATGGTAGCCTCATATTAATACAAATACTAAGTGAACTATCCTTTCGATCGATTCCAGACTCTGGCATTGCCACCAGTCCCGCACCCACTGCTACCAACTGTATTACAAGCAGCAATGCCGCCAACGGCGCTAATACCACAGGCAACAACAACTCGGGCTCCTCTGGATCATCGGGCGCCACGGAGGAAACCTCTGCGCCAGCGAGCCTGGTCAGTGCAGGCCTCTCGGAGAAGGGTGCCTCCCTGATCCGCCAGATCTCGGTGGGCGCCGAGCAAGGCGGCCTTAATGGAACTGCAGGGGAGGATGGAGGGGACCAGGCGGTCGTCCAGACAGAGAAGACCCCAAACCCGACCAAAATTCAGACCCAGAGCCAGGCCCAGGCCCAGGCCTTGGCTCAAGCCCAAGCCCGCGCGAAGCGGGTGCGCACGCAGAGCTACTCGGACTGGAGCACTACGATAGCGCCGCGCTACCAGTGCGAGGATGGGGAGTGCTCCGTGCAGTCCTGCTTGAACAACTTCACTGCCGTCGAGCTGATGACGGGCCAAAACAAGGTGGGATGCGACAGCTGCACGCTGCGCATCAACGGCAGCGACCCGAAGGCCAAGTCGGTGAACACCAATGCCACCAAGCAGCTACTGGTCTCTAGTCCTCCGGCGGTGCTAATTCTTCATTTGAAGCGCTTCCAGCTGGGACCGCGCTGCATCTTCCGCAAGCTGACTCGCCCGGTGAGCTATTCCATTCTGCTGGACATTGCCGCCTTTTGCGGCTCCAAGGTCAAGAACTTGCCGAACATCGATCGCAAGCAGAAGAAGCTACTGTACGCGTTGTACGGCGTTGTGGAGCACTCCGGCGGGATGTATGGCGGACACTATACGGCGTATGTGAAGGTGCGGCCAAAGGTGACGCCGGAAGACAAACGGTGGAAGTTCCTGCCGCACGGCAGTAAGGCGGAGCTGGATCAGGACGACGACCAACTCAAGAAACTGGAGGAGCTGCTTGCCAAGGAGAAGGCGCGCGACCTACACCTGCACGCGATTGACGACAGCGACGACTTCACCAACTCTAGCAGCAACTCGTCCACCTCCGACGAGGGCAATGTCCCGACCACACCGCTCGAGGAGCAGCAGTCGCCGCAGGAAGAGGCCGCTAACGTGCAGGCACCGCCCGGCAAATGGTATTACGTGTCCGACTCTCGTGTCCAGGAAGTCAGCGAGGACACGGCGCTGAAGGCCCAAGCATATCTGCTTTTCTACGAGCGCATATACTAGGGATTAGATCTTTTAAAGAGATTGGGGTGGGGAGACGTAGAAGCATGACGCGGGAGGCGAATGAAAGGAGTGTTAAGGAGGAAATGAGCAGCCGTGGTTCCATCAACTAGCTTAGGATATTCTACACATATACATTAATTAATTTAATTTTTTCCGTTGGGTTACGTTGTTATTTTTAACCCTGCCCAAAAACCCAACTTTGATATATTATTTTTTTTAACTGCATTTTGTTCAAAACATCGAAGTGGAAGAACTACGACCTTGACTGAAGAGAAAGCATGAATGCGAAGCATAGGGGAAATAGTTGAAAGATGCGGTAAAACCTAGACTTGAGACAGAGACAGACAGAGTGGCGGCGAAAGAGAACGCAGATACTCACACATGCCAAATGCATTTGGTTTCTCCCACTCAAAATTCGTTGTAGATTTTCGTTTTCTTGGGACAAGCTTTAGTTAGTCAACACGGCGGAAGAAAGACACGCACTCTTTAAATTGTAGTTCTCAGGAGTTCGGCTTTTGTTCGTATTTTACATTTAATTTTTATAATCGTTTACTGAAAGACACTTATGGGAAATTATCAAGTTTGTTAAATTTTAATTTCTTGGTTCCAACATTGCCCTGAACTATGACAGAACGTTGCTTGATCCACACACTACACTAGGAACATTCAAAATTATGGATAAAGCGCTGGAGGAAAACACTGCGGAGATAACAAAAGAATAGGAACATAAGGAATGAGAAGGGATAACCGAAGAATAACTATTTGCAGATATTCATAAGTTATTATAACAAATACGAATGAAATAAAAACAACCAATTGCTCGCTTCTGCCAATATATTTAATGTTCAGTAATTTGTCTTACGCCTACTATATATACACTATATTACGGGCAGATATACATACCGCCCACTTAGATATTTACAAGTTTAGCAGAGAAGTAAATGTTTTGAACCTACGTAGCGAAGGCAATTGCAACAAGAGAGATTTATACAGTCGCGAAACATAAATAATTATACAACACAGTTTATCTTATGACCTAGGCTTAACTATCCATTAAATTATTATTAACCAACCACGGACTCTGTGTATATTAAAGAGAGAAACGAATTATGAATGCAAAAAGTTATCTTGTGATTTTTTGCCAAATTTGAGACTTTACCTTTACTGATTTATGATGAATGTGGCTTACAATGGGCTTCACTGAGTCACACGTAAAAAATTTAAGAATCGGGTAAATTATGCTAATACATTTGATTTTATTAGTGAAAATGATCGATACCTCAAGACACATTAAATATTATTTCCAATTTTTTTAACTCCCAGCTTATGCCAGAAAATTAAAATGCAGCAAATGCATATGTGAATTAAGAACCACAAATAGTTTTTGAACTTCAAGAATGGGTTATATTATTTAATTTTGCTAAATTAAGAACAACTTATCCTTAACTAACGCTTAACTTTCTTTTTAATTTACCCAATTAATGTGAAAAATACATTAAGTGGGATAAAATGGAGTTGGTAAAATTACAAGATAAATCAACCCTTGCGCCCGTAAATTAAAGACGTATTTGTGATAAAATAAGGGATGACTTTTAGGAACAAACAATAAAATCTACGACCAAAAAGTAATACTTATTTGAAAGGGAATATTTTATTTACCTAAATTTAATTCGAAGATCAAAGATCACGTAGACCTTAGTCGATATAATTTAAATGGTTATTTTTAGGAAAAGAAAGTGCACGCTTTACAGAGGGACCCTTGAATGCTGTTTACGTCGTCCCCAGTCCCAGCTTATCTGTCATGGGGCCTCGACGATCTGCCCTTCCATTTGACCCCGTTTCATCCTAATCCATTCCGGGGGCATTTGGTCAAGCTCACGTTGCTTTCGCCGCCAATCGAGCACTCAAAGTTGGTTCTCCAGTCGCACTATGAGAGCTGCATTATTCGGATCGTGGTTCTGGCTGGGATTGGGACTGCTCTTGGTCAGCGATTCCGGCGGAGTGTTTGCCAAGCGGTTTCTGCGCTGCGAACTGGCCCGCAAACTGCTCGAACAACATGGTTTCGAACGAAGTCTGCTTTCCAATTGTGAGTGAGCAACATAAATGATTATAATACCATCGTACATAAGAACGATATTAACATATATTTTATGAGTGATCAATATTACAACGAGACGTTTTGATAGTTTATCAAACCAATAAATGTCAGCTTCTATGACTTCTCGTTTTCGTATCTAAGGGATCTGTTTGCTGGAGCACGAGAGCGAACTGGAGACCAGCAGAACCACCACGAATCCAAATGGATCTCGCAACTACGGATTGTTTCAAATCAACAGCAGATTCTGTCAAGAGGGAAGGCGCGGCGGTACCTGCAATGTTAAGTGCGAAGGTTTGACAAGCTTTCCATTTCAGTATTTCTATATATTTTCCTTTATCATCTAGATCGACTTTCTTTCAGATCTTCTGGATGAAAATTTAAGGGAGTCGGCAACTTGTGCTAAGCGCATTCAGACTTCTGATGGTTTTCGTCACTGGGCGGGATGGCAACGGTACTGCCGAAACACCCAGAATCTGCCTAATCTTAAAGTCATCTGTGGGATTTAAGAAACAATAATTGATTTCATGGGTCGTACAGAGCTGGTCTGTATTAAAATTTACCTTTATTTTCAAATGGGTCTGCAACACAAAATTTCTGATGGCTGGATGAATATTTTTTTTTTTTTGATTTTGTAATTCGGTGTTAGGTCAAGCACAGCAGCACTGGGAAACAATAAAGATGAACTCTTCCCTATGAAATACAAAAAAAAATGTCTAACTAATTTTTAAAAAATATGGCTTAACAATTTTGTGCTGAAGGTTTTTTCGCAAGAACATTTTTTCACCTTGAATTTATTTTTGGCAAAAATTCCAGTGGTCAATTTGTTGAAAATGTATTCAAATGAATTTAGCGGCGAAATTTTGTATTATTCTTAATGTTTAAAATGTAATGTAAATGAGTTATTCATTTAACTTTTTAACTTAACAAATCCTATTGTATTCCACCGTCTACTCTATTCGCCCTCTGATAGTCTACGATTTCTGTTCATTATCATTATAAAGTTATCGCACGCTTTTTGTTCTATTCATTTTTCCGAAAACTTTAGAGCTTTCTGAGCAATTGAGTCACCTCATGAAACTACGCTCTCTCTACCTCACTCTTCGTTTTTAGAGGGACTATACAGATTACGTGGGGCTTTCGGACTCGTACAACCGCAAGATTTCATTTGGCGACATCGGCCGAACGATTCGGAGCGTTTTTGGCAACGTGTTCAAAAAGAAATATCCAAACAAGAAAATATGGAAAATAATCAAAGTCAAGAAAATAAAATTCCAGTGCCCAGTGCCAGAAAAAAAATATCTTTTAAAAATGATGATATACTACTCTGAGCCTGTGATATTGTGCTTGCCCCGAACCCATAATTCCGACCGCCTTATATAATGTACACCCATATACCTTATGTGACTCAATACCCTACCCCGAACCGGTTCTCCAGAGGAACTGTGAAAACCTTGACAGATTGAGAGATCTGGTGGCTTAGTCGTTGATCTGCGGTGTTGTAAAGTTGAAGCCAAAATAAAATCTAAAGTGTATACTTATTTTTTGTTTTCGTGTCCTAGTCCCAAAAATACATGAAATGCAGTTTTTGAACCATTTGTACCCTTACTTTATGCATACATAAGTGCTCCTCAAAATGATTTCTACTGAAATCTTCCCAAGCCCCCAATTATCTAACTAATTATTATGTGATATTATGTGTATAAAAATTATATTTACTCTTATTTTATAAATAAGTGCTCCCTGAAATGATTTCTATTGAAATCGTCCCAAGCCTCCCATTTTCTAATTTATTATTATGTGAATAAAAATAAAATAATACAAAAACAATATCAGTTCTTTTTAATATTGTTTTGGGAAAAAGAATTTAAGAAAATACCTTAAGCTGCGAGCTTACACTTAGTAAAATTATTACATTCGTAATGTAAAAAAAACTTTAGTCTGTGATTTTTATAAAACCTGTGAATGATGGAAATAATTAAATGTGATACATGATATGACGTTTGAAACACAGTGCTGTTTTTATGCAACTTATGCAAATTGTGAGATACATGTTTAAATTATGATAAATTGTTTTAAATAACATTTTATGGAAATAGTTATGAAAATAAATAAATATTAAAATAGCTAAATTATTATCAAAACTCTCTCTGAAATAATTTCAAATACGTTCTTAATACAAAGAAAATGTTTTCTATATACGAAAAATGTTTTTTTCCAGACTGTTCTTTATCCAGTTTAATATTTCACAATCTTGCGAAAAGCAGCAAAAACTCAATCATTGAATCATTTGATCGGTTTATTTTACGTTTTGGCTGCTATTTCATCACATGGCGAAATGTATACCAAATTCCCCACCGCCAAAGAGCTTTGTTTGCGTTTTATTTTTTATTTTGTTTTGGCAATCGGAGAACGACGCCTAATCCACGTAGTAGATAGCGAATTGTGAAAACAAATTCACCCACAGTATTGAGAGCCGTGCTGAGAGAGCGCAATAAGACACAGTAAACCCACCTTAACATGCATTTTCTGACAACTTAGCTCAAGATTGCACTTCTTAAACGTTATTGCTCAGATACGATTATCAGAGTTCAAAACAGGTCAGAAATTAGTTGATCTAAAACTGATAGGAGAAGGATCTGAGTGAAGAGTAATTCTGTAATCGAGACTTCGAACACTAAACTTATATTTAATCTTATATAGATGAGAAGATTTAAATATTTATCTACACCTTGTGGATCTGACAATAGAACTTTTTAGTTTTCGGTATTTGTGTTTAATATAAAAATGAGGTTATTGTGGTTTTATTTTTCTTCAAAAGTTTCTAAAATTAAAGAAGTACTTAAAATCTTTTGAAATTCTAAAGACAGGACTGTCCCGAGAATGGCGTTGTATTTCAGTGTCGCCTTCGCAAAGTTCATAGATCTGCTTTACTGTACCCTAGTGGCTCTCCCTTTGTCTGCGACGCATTTCAGAGCTCCAACAGTTGGGCGTTCTTACCGCTCCCCCAAGGCCCCCCGCTTCTCCGCTCTACCGCCCTGCCACTTTGCCGCTCCGCTGGCGCCGACAAACAACGACCCCCCGAGCGTATAAAAAGTGCCGGTTGGCGAGCGGTTGTCATCAGTTTCCAAGCTTTTGGCTTTGTGGAAGAGCGTCTCCCAGCGAGCAGTAACCAGAATCACCAAGCAATTTTTGCCAAGCAAAGCATACGCATTCTGTCGAAACAACATTACACCATCGAAGTAAATCCCCGAGAGCAGACGAGATGAGCGAGTTGGCCAAGCAGCAGGAGCAGGATCGGGAGCAGGCTCCCCAGGAGCTGATCGACTGCGACATTGACTTCGAGGAGGTGCCCAGGGAGGAGGCGACCAGGGACCGGCAGGAGAGAGTGCCGGTCAGGTCATCGGACAAGCGGTACTCCAAGGCCTTCAAGAAGGTGGTCAAGGTGCAGCGCATGCTGGAGCAGGCCATGATCCTGCTGGCTGAGGAGGAGGCCAGGTGCCAGGAGCAGGGCTCCAAGAAGGGAAAGAAACAGCACAAGAAGCAGGCCAAGAAGGACAAGAAGAAGGCAAAGAAGCTGGCCAAGAAGCAGGCCAAGGAGAGGGAGGAGGAGCGGGAGCAGCAGGGGGCAGGGGAGGATCCGTCGAACTCCTCCTCCAGCTCCTCCAGTTCCAGCTCGTCCAGTTCCAGTTCCAGTTCGAGCTCCAGCTCCAGCTCCGAGGACGAAGAGGTCAACTTCTACGGCTACGGCTGGGGTCGCAATCCCTGGCGACGAGGACCACATGGCCACCATGGCTTTGGTCACAGGATTGGTCACGGTGTTGGCCACAAACATGGCCACAAGCATGGCAACAAGCATGGTCATGGACCGCATCACCATGGCCGACATCGCCGCCACCATCTGGGACCCCACCACCACTATGGGCACCACCACATGGGACCCCACTTTGGACCCCATTTCGGTCCCCACTTTGGACCGCCCCACCCTTTTGACTTCGATCGGAGGTCCTACCAGGGACCTTGGCAGGATCAGTGCCAGTTTTTTCGGTCGATGGGCCTGCCGTGGGCCCTGGACAATCCCGCGGCCTGCCGGAGGAGCCGATCGCTGCCTAGATTTGAGCACGACCATCGTGGAGATCTCGGACTCGGATTCAGATTTGGACCCGGATACGGACACGGAAATGGCCACCCGGGTCGACCATTTGGCCGTCGAGTAGAGAGATCCCTATCCCGTTCTGGCTGCCGCAGGAAGTCCCGGGGCAGAAGGTCCAGGTCCAGTTCCAGTTCCAGTTCCAGTTCCAGTTCCAGCTCCAGCTCCAGCTCCAGTTCTAGCTCTAGCTCCAGTTCTTCCGAGGAGAAGAAGGAAAAAAAGAGGGGAAGGGGCAAGGGCAAGGGCAGAAAGCAGCGCTCCTCCTCCAGCTCTTCTTCGAGCTCCAGCTCTATTTCGGACAGCCAAGTGCAGAGAAGGCATGGACCTCCCCATGGGCACCGTCATCATGGAGGTCGCGGCCACCATCATGGCCCAGACCATGGCCCACACCATGGGCCACACCATGGCCCACACCATGGCCCACACCATGGGCCACACCATGGCCCACACCATGGCCCACACCATGGGCCACACCATGGTCCACACCATGGGCCACACCATGGGCCACACCATGGGCCACACCATGGGCCACACCATGGGCCACACCATGGCCCTCATCATTGGTTTGGACCGGAGTTTTCCTTTCCCCAAGGAGAACGTACTGAACGACCGCCCTTTCTAACCCACGGACTTCATGAACACCACGGTAATTTAGGTCAATTTTTTGGACCACCAGCCGACTTTCTTGGTCGTCGCGATCGTTCACCATCCCTGTCCCACTGCCTCAAGGAAAACCGGGAGAGATCAAAGTCCCGTGGCCAGGAAAAGAGCGAGAAGGCCGAGAATCAAAACTGCTCGGGCAAGGAAAAGAGCAAGAAGGGCAAGAAGAAGCACGGAAAACATGGAAAACATGGAAAACAAGGTCATGGACATCATGGACACCATCGTGGTTAGCTGATAACAGCCAGCATTTAATACACAAACGATTCTTTCAGTATATCTGTATAACCTCTTATATGTATTCCTTTCTAAGCACTTTCAATGCTATACCCATAAAAAGCTTTATTATTATATAGAAACAACAAAAAACATTTAAAATTATATATCAACAAAAAAAAATGTTAATAAAACCAAAGACCAAATCAATTTATATTGTTTTTTTTGTGGAAGGGCAGAGTATTGTGACACCATTTAAAAACCAGCATTTCATCAATTATTATCTTGTTTTAAATGTGTATTTTTCACTACCAGCTGCTTTTGGCATTAGTGAGCTGTTGAACTCCGTTCCTGCCAATAATTATATTATTTAATTATATTTGACCACTCGGTTGGGTGAAGCACGCAAATGACTAAATTGCATTATTAATGCATCGAAAGTGATAAGAGCAGCAAAGCCGCAAAAAAGAGGACAAAAAGGCCAAAACAAATTTAATCCAATTTAGAGGCATTAAAATTCTCAAAGGGAGGAGAAAAACAATTTAAACTAAGTAATGACCGACGAGTAATTAGTCTACTAGTGCAGAGGAGGACTTAGAGTTTAAAATATAGCGTCGACGTTGTGGGGCTTACGTGTATGACGAATTCCGATAAGATGGGAATTCCTAAAGAGGTTTTTCCCACTCAAATGACGATGCAACGGTGATAACAAGTTTGATAAGTTCATCGATAAGGGAGTAAACAATGGACTAGCTCTTTACGATGTTTTTTGGTGCCAAACCTGATTAAAGAGCTACACGGCTCCGCAGAAATAGGGTACCATAGAACAGCTCAAAGCCTGTGGAAAGTAACTTGGATTTACTAGTACAACCTTTCGATAAGAAAGGAATACTCGTAGGTTTGGATGGATCTCCCCTATATGCAGAAATTTAGGGAACAGATTGCAGTTAACTGTTCTTAGTTGTCGAGGGGAAGGACTGAGCTGGTTCTAAGATCCAAACATGGGTATCCCATTTTTTAATATGATACATTTAAGTATTCTGTATATTTTTAATATTTCTTAATAAATTATCTATGTCTTTAATAACAGTTTCAATTTAATGTAAAACAATACAAATACCAAGCCATTGCTCAACATCCCTATCTAGCTCATGCTTGAAATTGTTTCCTAGCACTGTTTAATGAAAGAAAACAACATACAAATTATATCGTCAAATTGTACCTTTGGAATATTATCAAAAAACTTAGTTTCAAACGATTGCACGAATACAATGTACCCTCTATACTCTAGGGTAGGGTGCTCGCCCTTTTCTCCAGCTTAAGCACTTAAGAGAGCTAGATACTGGGAACAGTGGTATATTTTTAAACAGTTAAGACCTAATAAAATATAATAAAAATAAAAGCGTCAGAAAAAATTAATGTGTGCTAAATATGTAGTCCCCGGAAGTCTTACTCTTATTAAAAAACTTTATTTCAAACGTTTCCACGAATACAACATACCCACTTACTCTAGGGTAGGGTGCTCTCCTTTTTCTCCAGCTTTCTCCAGCTTAAGCACTTAAGAGAGCTTAATACTGGGAACAGTGGTATATTTTTAAACAGTTAAGACCTAATAAAACATAATAAAAATAAAATCGTCAGAAAAAACGACGATTTTACTCCTAGTTCCGATTTGAAGCTGAAAAAAAGATACACTCTTTACTCGCCATTTCTCCTTCTTAGGAACGCTTAAGAGAGCGCAATACTGGGAACACTTTCCAAGAACACTTTTCTCGAGACCCCAAGTAACTGTCCCCTAATTAATGGGCGGGGGCACATGGGGATTGCTTCGGTCTGTAGCTTGTCTGACAGATCGGCGGGAATGGGGCCTCCGAGGGGTATGAACAGGAGTTTTCGGGGGTAAGGACCCACTGGAGTTGTGGAACAAAGCTGGGGAAACGGGTAGCCGGGCAGTTGGCCTGCCTGGTTTAAGTGCTGTTTAATAATGAAACACCGCACCCGATGGCAAGTTATGGCCTGAAGCCCCGAAGTCCTGACCACCGCACGGCAGACCAGGAAGCCACCGTCCTGGAAAACACTTTTCCCTCACCAATCGATGGGCAACAGGTAAACATGAAAACATAAAAATCCGAGGGCAAACATATTCAAAGGAACACTTTATTCGATTTTTGTGACAATGTGACGGGCGCACTCATTTTCCTTTGCACTTTTTGTTGTTCATTGTTTTTTGGTGTGCGTTGGCAATCGGGATAGTGTCTGTTTATGGCACTCATTTCCACAGTGACAAGTTTGAATAATGGAAAAAAGTTTGTACTTTTCCGTTTAAGATGGAATTAAACCTTTTTAGTTTGAGCGAAATTCTATAATAAAATGTCCTCAATAAGAAATCCTTATTTTGACACAAATAATACATTTATATGTGGGGTCCTGGCCCTGGTTTCACCCTCATTGTCACTTGCAGGTCCTTCAATTTCCCAGAAACAAAGAACGGATGAAGGGGAAAATAAAAACAAACGAAAAACACGAAAACGGAAAGTGTGGCATGAATAGAGGAAGCTGCCGGAAGTCGATTTTTGAGCGGAAATAATTTTGCCACATGTTGGCGAAATAAAAACACGCAGAGGGTAATCTAAAACAAAATCACGCACAGAAAATCGGAGGGAAAGCGGAGAAAATGGCGGCGGGAAACGGGGGACGCGGCGCAAATCCTTCCGTCCTTCCACTTCCTGTTTCGCTCCATTTGCGATTTAACTTTAAGAGGGTACGCACATATACATATTTTTTAAAATAATTTTCTTCATTTTCCTCAGACAGGTGGAAGAAGCTGGGGGCTTATCTCTGTGTGTGACAGCCGCAGAGGGAAAATGGCAAAGTTAAGTCAGAAGACGGATAAGTCGAATCAGTTTTATTTGAAAAGAAGTTCATGTTCCGGACCCCTTCGTAGTACTATATTTTTTATTGTATTCTTTGTTTAAGCTTAGTACAAAGCAAGAAGTAAATAAATAAAGACCGATCATCAGTCCAATTTCTATGGCACTTCCATTTTAGGGACTTTAATTGGCCCTGTACAGTGGGTAAAGCGAACTGCACTTGCAACTGCATAGGATCAGAAGCTACTATAAATGTTTGACAAAGGCGTAGAATGCTGGTATAATTCCGCCTTTGTTGGTCTGCTCTGTTTAATAGGCGACAGCCGAAAAGTATGCACTCCGTTGCAGGACTGAATGGCATTTCTGCACCGTAATACACGTAATATCATGGCAAATAAGCTGAGATGACAGCAGTGCCAACAACGGAGTCCCGAGTATCCCCACCTTCCTTCTTTCTTTTTTTCGGGGGCACCACTCTCGGCTAACTGGCAAACAATGGGCGCCATAATACCACACAATAGATATTTGTATTTGTCAGGGGCGGGGCGAGGGAGCGAGTGGGTGAGGCGGTGAGGGGGCGATAGGTTGCTAGGTGCGAATGCAGATACACAGAAAGTTATACGAATGTTACGTGAGCGGAGTGCCAGAGCAGTGGAAACTGTAACAACCGCCCATTGTTACAGTTTCCACTGACCCCGACACCTTTTTCCCCTGCTCTCCGAGTGATAACCCTTAGCCCAGTTGCAACGCATTTCGTATGCAGCTCTTGTCCGGCAACGCAGCTTTTACGGTTTTGTTGGGGTCTGGGTTCTGGGTTCTGGCTCTTCCGCCCTCTAAAATTCCAACCTACAGTTTTTCGGTCTTATTTCCACCAGCCGCGCTTAACAAACAAGGGTAAAGATAAAGACGGTACAGCGAAAGTAAGATGGAAAAACAAAAAGTGCAATTTGCAAGGACAACGCTGCGTATGCGCGATGTATAAGGTGCATCTTTAATGCACCTGGTACTTTGTTGTTTAATTCTTTCAATTTTCATAGAATGTACTTATTCAGACTTTGTTCAGGAAAATTGGAATAAATGGATCAGAGAACTAATTAGAGAGAACAATTTACCAGGACATCATCCGGTATGAGCAATATGAAAAGCTAAAATATGGAATACAAAATATGTAATAGGGAAATGCCACTCAATAGTGGTCATAAATCGTTCGTTGGAATTATCTAAATATCGGTTTGCAATACTGCCACGTTGGGGCAATTTATGGCAATTAAATTGAAGGCGGACCTGCTTTTCTTGTACGAAATCTGCATACGAGATGTGACAAATTGGCCGCTATTAAAGCCAATTATTCCGTTTACTTAGCCCCGCTCTCGGGTAGCACACATACCCACACGCGAATTTAAATCAGAATCTTTATTAAAACACTTTATGTAAATGAATAAATAGGCAAGTGGCGCAGAGGAAAAAAGAGGCAGCCAAGGAGGCACTGAAAGGCTGACTGACAGCCGTCAGAGATGTTTCGGAAGGAGACGGGGATAGTCGGGGTGTACGGGGTGTACGGGGTGTACGGGGTGTACGGGGTACTCGGGGTGTACTGGGATGGCTACGGCAGCAGTAATACATTTACATAAATATTACAAGGCTATTACTCGCCGCCCGTGCAACACGCCCCGAGCCTCAGGGCCCCATTCATAGGCAAATACACGTGTGTGTGCATTACAATAATACGAAAATTATTTGTAATGTAATTTCAACTTAATAAATGTTCATTTTCATATAAAGCGACAACTCATTTTACTCCGCAGTAGGTAAACGTGTGGGTACACTGGCGAAAACGATGGTTATAGATATATTTAGCAATGTGTAACCAATGTTTAATAAAAATTAACTGAGCTAATTTATGAAAATGTTACCAAAAAATGGCCTATTTAAAACCTGCTTTTCATTATTGGCTGTTGTAATACTATGTTGTAGATCGTTATAATATTGGTTATGTGTATTTTCAAGTGCTCATGAAATTACAGAAGCTGACAGCGAATTAAGGTTGGGGCGGAGCTCTGGGAGGTGGGCGAAAGAAGCTAAAAGCCGAAAGCACGACAGGAAGTAAAGTCGTCGAAAGTGAATTTGCATAAACGTATGAAATTTTAATATTTACGACAAATTCTCAACCACTTCCCAAACACCTCGCACACACACAGTGAACACTCGCTCATTTTCACCGTCTTCCTTTCGAGCTGCATACTTTGGGGCGCACACACACGAAAACTTTTCCCAGCCAGCGGAAATTCATCTCCAGTACCTGTATGTAGATGTGCATGTAGATGACAATGTTGCTTTCCGGTTGGGAAAGTGGGCGCCGAATGGACGGGGAGTGGCCGAAGAAAGGGGGCGGGGAAGGGGAAAGGCAAAGGAAAGGCACTCACCGAGTGTAAACTAAATTGAGTTAGCACTGAATTGGGCAATGAGCTCGGAACTTGGGGTTGGTACACCGAACGACGGCAGAGTCCCCTCAAATGCGGCGGTTCCCAAATTAGATCTGGTTCGCCTTAATACGGTGCATAAGTTGTAGTTTAAGTCGAGCTAATGTATGCCATCTGGTGGTTGTATCATTTGCGGACTCTGAATTTTAAGAATCCAACTTTTAAAAAATATGGTTTTCTACAAATAACTTTTGTCAGCCCTCCGAGTTGCAAAATCTTTTTATATTATCATTATATATATAT